TGAAATGATTTGAAAGAAATGTTTTAAATTACATTTATTTAAACAAATCAACATTGATCGCACATTACGAGTAATGTATTTTAATCTCGTACAGATAATGAATTTTCCTAGTCAAGAATTTTACCTTATTGATACGTTACGTTTATAATTTTATTTCAGCACAAGATCAGGGGGTGAGCATTATTTCGATTAACGAAAAATTATACTAATTTTTACAATAGCTAATATATGATCAATCTTATTCCAATTGTTCGAATAGTCTCTATCGAATAGTCCTCCATTACAAAGTAATTTTCTGAATAATATGTAGTTTTCAACAAAAAAATTTCATAATCAACTTAAGCTTCGTACAAAATTTTTTATCTGATTACATTTTATTTAGTTATATCTTTAATTTGTTATTATTAACGACGAACAATCTTTTGTTCAGAAAGTTCGAAATTTTTCCTTAGTTTTATTAATCTGTAGAAAACGATGCTTTTTATTGACAAATTGATGCAGTCTCCATAAATTTAAAGCGCTATATTCTAATTTCTTTCAGAAAATTCTCCATTGCAATCAAGAAATGGATTTAAAATGATATGTACAAACACACAATCAACGTTATAAGAAATCAAAACGATGATCAATTCATATTATTGTCTATTCTCATGGATCTTTGAACCTTTTGACATTTCTAAAAAAATGAATTTAGATAAAAACTTAGCTTTTGCAGTCTCACTTGTAGATTATAAGTATTAAAATTAAAAGTGATCGGCATTTAGATTAAGCGCATTAAATTACATGAAATATTGCATCTCGTTAAAGCGTCAAACGAGTTTTTATACAGATCAGTACAACTACTTTTATTTTAATTGATTAAATTACAAAAAAAATACAAGATATTATTTTAACGATACATTTATATTTTTAAACAAAAGATTAAAAACTAAAATAAAATAATGATAACAAGAATTACAATGACAATAATAATGATAAAATGTAAATAAATAACAATAAATAATGGGAATGATGTATGAATACAGTAAGTTCATTACGAACCACTAAAATGCTCTCAAATACTACTAAAAAATTACACCATTTTAATTATTATTATTTTAAATTATAATTACGAGTATAATGTATGATAAATAAATAACAGCATTTATAAAAAATTGACGTTAATCACAATGAAAATCCGTTGAAGATTTTTACAATTCATGTATGGAGAATATAATTATGTTAAAATGTTACAATGAGTAATTCATTTAACTATAAATGAAAGATCTTGCTGTTAAATTCATGCATCGATATACATATACGCATATATATACACATTAGTGATATTATATTCATGAATTAACATGCGTTTTTATGCAACTATAAATTATAGAATGACTAAACTTATACCTAAATATAAATTGCAATGTTGCAAAAAAATCGCATGTACTACACTAAATCAAAATATATTATATCCACTTTTTCAATCTTTATAAAGATAATCATAATTATAATCATGACAGTGACAATAATGTTAACCATATTCTTTAAATAATTATTCATTGTTGTAAATGTGCACATGTTGTAGGAAATAAACTAAAACTGTATTTTCTAATAGTAAATTTATTCTCAACCTATGCATCATTATATGTATTTAAATCTACAATGATAAGTATTTCTAGTTATTGTTTTTATAACGATTCCTAAAACTAAAAAAAATATCGATCATCACAGATATGGTAAAATAATGGAATAATATTATAATCGCAACTCATTTTTGATTACATATCTGATACAAATAAATAGAAATGTTGTTTGCAATATCTTTTATAATGATACTAAATCGTAATAATTTTATTCGTATGTCATAGTATGTAGTAGAATAACAGATATGAGTATTGAAATAAAGATGATTAAATATAAATGGCCAAAAAAGAATAATGTCAAAAAATAGTCGATGAAACAAAAAAAGGCTTATCTTCAAGACTACTTACATTCAAAAATTGAGTCAGGTTCTATTTAATATTGCACGGCCCGGCACAGGACTGTTACATGATTAATATATAGTCCACATGTAGTTTTATATATATATATATATATATATATTTATAATTGTATATATATAAAACATGATACGAGTTTTTTTAAATAATTCTTTATTCTATGTTTATGCATATCACTCAATACTTGCACTTGTTTATTATGAAAAAAGTTAATAACATAGTTTTACTTCGCTATAAGTGCGAACAAATCGTTTATTCAACCATCTTATCTCTGTAACGAGATCAATTTATTTACCATGTTGTAATTGTTTATTAAAAACTTTTTTCACTAAAATTTTATGATTGTATTCTTATAGTTTAAAATATACTGAGCAGGCAATTATAATAATAATTTATCAGATATTAATTAAGTACTATATATTATGTTTATAGTACTATAATCAACTTTTTACCGTGTCTACTTACATTTCAATTGTTTAGTTTACTATTATTCATCAATTATCAATGATAAGTATCATGAATATAATTGTATATCACGATAATCTACTTGTCGTCATATTCTTAAAATGGATCATCACAACGTCTTCTCGTTGTAATTTACATAAACAAGCTCATACGAATGTAAATGAATTTTTCTACGTTCCCTGCACTACAGACTACACCCAAGCCTCGCTATAAATGTCCCCTGAGCAGATAAATACCCACAATTATCAACATTTCCAGTACTTTTGTGTCTTCTTAATCGCTTATTTAATAACATTATTAACAATACTATTATCATCATCATTGATCTGCATCATCCGTATTGTTGAAACATGCGTAGGCCGCCGAACGTAGTCAATGTCGAGTTGTTTAGGGCCAACCTTATAATAAACGAAACAAAGGTGAGCCAAAAAAATCCACAAAATCGCATCATTGCTAATCACCGCAGGCAGTGTAAAGTATTTTAAACAGTTGTCACATATTGACGAACTTCCGATTCATCCCAAGGATATCGTGAAGATTCTTCACTTCTGGCTCGAGTGGGACCACGATGAGTTGCTTTAGAATGATATCTTGGTACTTCTTCACTGTGTGAACGTTTAGTTAAATCGATACCTTTGCGAGGAACCTCTAGAAGTGCTTTAGAACGAGTTAAAAATGGTCGTTGTCGACTTTTAGGTTCTTCACTAGTAGACCTCGTAATGGTTTTTGGTGATGTTAACTTTTCCTCTTTCATTTGAACATTTTCTGCCTTACTACGTAACTTTTTCCGTTTCGATTCTTTATAAGATTTGACAGGTGCTTGAACAGGTGATGGTAATATTATTTGTATCGGACTCGGCGACACTGGAATTGGCTCCCAAATAGAGGGTTCAATATATTCCGGTGTCATCGTTCTGGATGGACTTGGTACCGGAGATTCATCGTTCCATGCACCTTGATAAATGGGAAACGGTGACACTTGGTTAAGAAATCTCCAACGTGCTCGTTCTTCTTCATCTTCATCTTCTTTCTTAAGCGTTGGTGCTGCTGGTGGTGGGTGACACGTTGGTGTAATATGATATGTGTCATCAATAATATCTGTTTCATCTTGAGGCTCTGGTACCTCTAGAATACTTAATTCTGAAACCGATCCATCATACGGCGTCCATTTGATTTCACTAATTCTCTTTGGTTCACGCTTTTTAATTCCTACACAAGGCAATGGCGAGTATCCTTCATAAGGTGCCCATTTTGCATCAGTAATTGTAATTTCTGGTGAAATTAAACGTTTAACAATACGACTATTTACCCTAACTATTTGTCTAGGATCTGGATCGGGCGATAAGCTCCTTCTTACGCTATAACGTTGTTTTTCTTTCATACTTTTACTCTTAGGATCACCTATTTTTATTTCTTTTTTTTCTGGTTGTAGAGAAAAATGTGCCATACCAGCCCATTTGGATCTTTGAATTTTTCGTGTTTCTTCAGAATTCATAGTTCTTTCCTTTGGCTCCCATTTTTTGAAAGATCCTACAATAGCTTTCTGTTGGACAAGTTTCCCTCGTTCTTTTTTAGTGACAGGGGCTTTAACATCTTCGCTACCATGTTTTTTAAGCTCTGGTTTCTCCATAACAGAATCAGGTTCTTCTGATGATAAAGATTGAGTAAATATTGTTTTGTTTTCTGTATTTTTGAATATCTGAGTTTTTTTCTCATCGACAGGTGAAGATGATAACATTCTCGGTTTCGGACATGTACACCGTGGTTTAGGATTAGGCATAACTTCTGGTATTTGTAGTGTCTTCGATGTTGGTGGTAAACTCTCACGAGCCATTCCTGAAGCATCACTCAAATGCTTTCGCAAATCGTAAGGTGTTTTTAAGTGATCAGGAGGTAATGACCATTTATCAGTTTCAGCACTGTGGTGTTTCCTCAAGTCACCTCGTTCTGGATGTTTTTTTTCTTCGGGCGTAAGATCATGACAACTACACTTGGTACGCCGAGAAAGATCTATGTCCGTTTTCGATGTATGAAGAGCCCATCGATATTCTGCTGTACTAGATTGTCGTTTAAGATCCCAAGTAATGTCATTGGGAGATAAGAAATGTCCTGACCATCTTGAAGTTTCTACACTCCGGTATTTACGTAAATCAGGGTGAGGTTTGGGAGAATGTTCGGCTATCTCAGGTGGCCCTTTAACTGTAGTACTATCACACGTACAAATTAAATTAGCGAAACTGCTTTCAAGAGGTGCTGAATCAACTGCATCAAGATCTTCGATAGTGTATGAAATTGTATCTTCACGTTTTTTACCACAATCTGGACAACGGCCAGATATTCCACCACTTATTCGTCGTTGATCTAATTGTTGTTGACCAGGAAGCTCTAGAAGTTGCTGCTGTGAAACGTGCTGTTGCGTTGATGCACCAGATGTGGACGGGACCGGAGGTAGTGTTGACGGCAACAACGACTCGTCATGCTGCGATGGCGATTCTTGATCGCCTCGGAGGATGTCAGAAGGGCTCAAAATGGCATTCGTTTCTTGCAATACGGCCCAAGAGTTCTCTGTAGCTTTGTCAAGCCGCCTTGGTGGGAACGGCGACTCCGGAGACAACGAGGTTTCGATCGAGGCTACTACCAGTGAGGTTGCTATGATCTCCGGTTCCACAGGCCTGTTACAAAATTATTTAACTGGTTACTGTTTTGTTTTACATTTTAAATTAAATATTTTTTCATTTTTGGTGAACGAGGCGTCCTTACGTACAAGCTCTTTCGATTTTATAGCCCCACGTTCTGTGATGGACGCCTCCAAAGGGTGTCATATACCTTGAGCTCGGTGAATATTTCCGTGAAGAATCCAGGCTCGCTGTTGATACGTAACATCTTGGAACTTAGTCGATTGACAATCAACAAACATCGATCCCAAAATTTGTCCTTGCTGTCTTCCACCAAGAATGGTTTTAGTGGGTAGCTAATTTCGTTGCCCATATAGCTGTAGCTTAGATACAAGCATGTTAGCACAGTAGCTTGTAGTTCTCTTTCTGATGCTTCTTCACCATCTACTAATTCACGCACCAGCATATAAACGAATACCACATTTGCCGGATTTATAAAAGCAACATCCTGAAACAAAATTAAAAATAATAGTTGTATTTGCGTTTTTAATTAACCTTATTTTCGAATTGTTTTAATCATTAAAAGCATATTTATACGGAAAAAAATGTACCTAATACTGAAGATATTGAATAAAAATTATTATGATGAAAATGATTAATTATTAATTGAAATAACAGTCAATTAAGATAACAACGATCTGTAATTTTCGTTTAAATTAAATAAATGTTATTTTCCCCAGTTGGCTATGACTGTAATTATATGATATTCTCTGAAAATACTGCGATACATCAATTAGTCGTTTATTAATTAATTAGAAATGATTTTACGATATTTCTTTTGAAATGTAAATATCATTTTTTATTTATTTATTATTTTCTATTGTTTATTATTTCATGCTACTTTTACGTTTATAGCTTAAATTGTCGACAGAATTATCCAGGCATGTTTCTTCGCTCTAGAGAAATAGCTTGATCCTCCATTGTCATTAGTGAATTGGAGTGTGCTGGTCGATTTAGACTACGTCGAGTAGACCGTGAAAGCAAAGCTTCAAGTTACGATGTAGGGAGTATAGAATGAATAAACACGTGCCCCTTATTAGCCCGATGTAGAAGATATTGCGATGGTTGAACGTGAACAACATCATGTACTATCCAGCATACATATAGTATAAATATATTCTTGTAAACTCGGCAGATCTCTACGGTAACTTGCTGATTAGATCGATGCCCCTAATACTATATTAAAATTGCTATGGATCATTTTTTTATGAAGCTTTTTTACTGCCTTTTTCTATTAAAAATTAATATAAAATCTATAAAACCACCTTCATTGACATACTTTTTAGATAAAAAATTCTGTCATTTACTCATTTACAAGCTCATTTATTTTATTCAAAGTTAATTAAAAATTGAAATAAATGAACTTTCATTTGGAATCATTTTCATGAAAATTGATTTTTATTCAGAAAAAGTATTATAGGAAATATTTTTGAAATCTCATCAATATTAATACATCAGCAGAACATCCATATAAATATGGATAAAAGATATTTTATTTTTTCGTAATAGTCACCCACGTATTTAAGCGTTAATGAGTACCAACGGGGGTGTAAAAACACGATTCGTTACCCTTCTTATTATTCACTTAATTTTTTATAATGTGGTTGTTAACAATATCGAACGTGCAATTTTAAACTTGACTTAATTTCAGTTATAAAATTACAAAATAATTAACAAATATTGAAGAATAATATTAAAATATTAAAAAAAAATGCAATTAATTTGTTAAATAAAACATGTATTGATAATATACACATGTATATCATTAAAAATGAATAATGATGTTACATTAGCTCAATCCAGTTGTTAATAATGAGATTAAGCACTTTAAGTGAAAACTAAATTATTCCGTTTATCAAAAATCAGATTAACTGCGTATAATAACACCGTCACGTTTTAAAAAATAATAAATAACATGTGACATTCTATTTTAAGAATATCATAAAATGATTATTTTATTCATTTCATTATCACTGTGGTAAAACGATCATTCTTAACTCTAGCATCAATAAAATTGTTGAAACAATAATTACAGAATGACATATCATAATATTTTAAAGGTTTTAAAAATAAAAAAACCATTGTTTTAAGTGAATTTTGTGATTAAAAAACTTCATGGTGTATAAAATCTCAAGTTATTGTTATGTCAAGTTTCTAAAGTAATTTTTACTAAATTTTCAACAATCAGGCAGTAGATTAGTGTAACTAGAAATCTCTGATGACACTTGAATAGTAATTTAGTATCTTGGGAAGATAAAAATTATTGACTTAATGTGACACGTGTTGATATGAACCACAGTAGTTCAATCATTATTCATTAATTTTTTATTTTAATTCCTGTTACCAATTTTTTCAAGGTTGTGTAAAAATAAAAATCATTATTAAACACAATGCACAAATAAACGACAAATTAATATACATTATGTTGCTTTACTAAAATTATTTCAAGGGTTTGCGAAAACTCCAAGGAAAACTCTCTGTGAATTCATACTAGCTATTAAAATATAATTTTTTTAACTCTTTTTAAGTTTCTATTCACTCTATTCAAAGTTAATTTTTTTTTTATTTTCAGTCATTGTGAACTTGAGTGTTTCTGGAACATTTTAAAAATAATTTATGTAAAAAACTTTCAATGCAAAATATCCTGGCGGAGTTGTAGAATATTATTAGTTTAAATTTAAATATTGTGACATTTACAAAAAAATTTACATGCTATTTTACTGAGCAATCCTGAAAAATGAAAAAAAAAGTTTGTTCATCTTTATACCATATTAAAATAGTTAATTGTTTAATTTTCTTAGTAGAAAAATATCTTTTATGTGATATGATTGAATATTTTTACCGTCATTTTTATTTCGAGTTTCCCAGAATATCAATCAATATTTACCGAAAGTAATGTGCAGTATCAGCCAGCTGCTTAATTATAGGTGGCTGGTGCCATAGTTTAACAATTGAATAGTAATAAAAAAATTCCATAAATATTGATTCATAATTTCAATTAATATTAAAAGTAAACCAAAGCTTACAAGTGTTATTGAATTCACCATGTGTGCTGAATAATATTTACCTGCCATCCCTGGAGAAGTAAACTTCTATCGACAGTTCTAAGCCACATGACAGCATCGCCAGCTTGGAAATCTCGTAATCGTGTACATTTTTCATGAAGATAAACACCAAAACATCTGAGCAATTCTGATGTCGATGCTTGGATAACTGTTTTACGAGATCCTGCGGGTTGAGATCGTTCTGCGATCTTCTCACATTTGGGATTGTGCATTGCATGATTATTATTTGATGTTGGTGCTTTTGTCTAGAAATATATCATAAAAATTTCATCAGTTTTATTATTAGACTAACTATTCGAAATTTCAAAGTATTCATGAACCCTAAATTGAAGATTAGAATATTTATGACACTATTTCAATGAAAACTATTCAGAAACAATCTAAAACAATGAAATTTATAATTGAATTATTATATAGATTTATATAGTTTCTGAATAAATTTTCCCATGTGGACCAATTCTCAGATTACATCTCCAAGTTTTGTTTCATGAAGCAGTCATCAAAATTATTTTTATTTACCTTGATGAAGAATAAATTTATTAAATAAAATAAATAAATGTGAAATTTAAGAACTAACTTAAATAAGAAGTTTACTGTGTTGATTTTAATTTTAGTATTTAATAACTTTAACGACTTAATTCATGTAGAATAATTAATAACTAAAATGTAACAACAAATATTTACCTGTGGAGTTTGAATATTCTTATTTTTATCAACAATTGGAATGTTGTCTAATGGTTGACGAAAAGTAATATTTTTATTTTTATTATCCAATTTCTTTTTATTATTATTAATTGTACTAAATCGTTTCCAAGACCAAGCATTAATAAATAAGGAGTGCTTTTTTAAATTTTTCTCTAATGCATTTTTTTCAGAAATAATTCTTGCATTGTCATTGTTATTAAGATTAATATTAATATTTTGTAAAGTATTATTATTATTTATCGGTGGATGATTGTTCACCGTGGCTGCCGGCGCAACAACCACGACATTTTTATTTTCACGATTTTTGGCATTATTCAGTTGCTCATAATTGAAATTATTGAGTGTGAAATCTGTCGAGTGTTGATGACCAATCGGCGGATATACAGAGCTCCGGCGGTCTTTTGGACTCAATGATAAGACAGTACCCATAACTGTAGTTTGATTTTGTATTGGTTCACTTATTTGATGTTGCAGCTGATGTGGCTGCGAACAAGAATGGCTTTGAATTTGTGCTTGACTTTGGCTTTTAACTAATGTTTGTCCATGTGACTGTAAATGTATTTGGAGTTGATGATGTTGTTGCTGTGATTGTTGTGAAGGTGGTGTCGGGGGAGGCGATCTAGACGGACTTGGAGTAGTAATTCGTGGAGGCGGTGGTGGTGGAGGAGCCTTAGGTATCGAGGCTTCCCTTGAGGGTCCCGTCAGCGAGGTTGCATCCCCTGGCTCTATGGCCTCCTCCACGACGGGACCCACCACTTCACTCAGACGACCTCCCAGCCTGGCGACGCCTTTTACCTTTTTTTTCTAACACACTACTTGCAATAAGTTTCTTTCTTATGTTTCTATTGTACTTTCCTTTTTAATAGGATTTTTTTTCTTAATCACCACACACTATTCACGGTCCTCTTAACCACCTCAAATTTCTCTCGTCGCTTACGCACCCTCTCTCGATGGAGAGCGCGCCGCGACGAATATGGCGTACGATCAATACACAAAACAAGACGTACGTCTGCCACAAAAAGCAACGAATCAATTGAAAAAATTGCTACTTAAATTTGAAATTGTTTTCGAAATAAGGAAACACGAGTAGCTTTCTTTTATTAACAATGCTGGTAATATTTTCTATGTAATTATGTCTTTTTATGTTTAGATATGAATCACGTAGCAGTATCAAACATTTGATGGATGAATTAAGTTCAGAAACAAGTAGACGAAATGGCGAACATGAATCTCAGCCCTCGAATGAATTTAGTTATTTTCATAAATTGAGTTTTAAAACTTTTTTTTAAGCATGCTTTTACTTAATAATTAGATAAATTCTGTTCATCAAATTACTTATGTAGAAACCTTTTCAAGACGTATCACTATTCACTTAAACCAAAAATTCGTCACGTTCACAGTGAATGATTTTATTGTATAGCTTATACATAATTCATAAAACGCATAAACAACTTTTTAAATGAAACTAATTATTGAAAATGATTTATTTCTGATTTTTGAGTTCATAGATAAAAATAGTTAATAAATGATTACTTTACTCCTAAAATTCACAAACTTGTATTTAAAATGGCTATGTCACTACTTCTAGATATACTTTTCTATTTATTTTTGGAATTTTATCGTTTTTCGGAACCCCGGTCAACACAAAATCAAAATGAAAGCGTCGACGGAGTTCGTCGTCGCTATCGTGCGCTGCCAGAATATGGTATTTTGCCCTCTTGGACAACCAAGACGTACACTGTACGTCCCTTTTAGATTTCATGCGCGCGCACTCGTTCGATAAACGCAAACGTCAATTGTTGGGGGTGGCAAAGAGATAAGAGAAGGCTGCAAAAGGAAAAAGAAGAAAAAATGATAAAAAAAGAGAAGTCGATTAGAAGGTATGATAGAACACGTCATGTTGAGACATTCCTCTTATTGCAATCTCTTTCAAGTCAGTGGCATGATGCTTTTCCTAAAAACCTTGATTATTTTTTCTCCAGAAAAATCAACAGCTAAGTAAATACAGAAAATTGAAGTATAATAAGCGCTCTATAGTCTTGTCTGGACTAGAGGAAACTATTGAAACTTTCTAATAAAAAACCCCTTAGATTATATTATAACTAATGCGATTTCAAGCCCGAAAGTCGTTAGAGTGACTTTTTCATATAACTGTTATTTCATCACATCATAAATAAATCTAAAAAATAAAAATAATATATTTTGATATAAGTATTAAAAATTTTTAAAAACATAATATTATCGATGATAATAATGTAATAAAAACAATAAATATAGTAGTTAACAAAAATAAATAAGGTAGTTTGATAAATTGTTATAAATCATCTGATCACCTATCAAAAATAAATCACTTAGGATATTCTTTTTGATCATTTGAACACTTTACCACAAAATGTAAATTTTATTGAAATCTCTTTTCTCATTACTAATAACAACTGGTCTGAAAATTTTCTAGCCATTTAATATTAACTAATGTGGACCTTTTTTTTTATTTGCTACTTTATTTTTAGTAAAAAAAAAAAAAAAAAAAAAAAAATAAACCAAAAAGTATGCTTAGTAAAAATTTAAATAAAAAAGAATTCTAAAAATAATATTTTCTCGCAGATCGCGTTGGCGTGAAACCAGCGACCTCCCTTTTTTCTCTTGCTAAGTATCGATGTGACCCCGATTCACGATCTACTACAATAGTGTCATTATTGTTGTTACTGATACCGTGCTAATATAATATATTGTCGTTGATCTGCAACCTATAAACTGTATTCTCCTATTTCTATTTCATGTCAAGAACAAAAACAGAGTATCAAACTTTCATTCGCTGATCCTAGGTCATAGGGTAGTTTCATGAAGTTCTGCCAACAGTGTTGCAAATTCAAATTAAAACATGAAGTAGACATACATTAGAAAATTCTAGAGAAGTTTGAAATAATTATCCATTCTTTACTTTATTGATAAAGTACATGTTTCAGTTAATAATGGTATTCGAATTTGTGGTGCTTTAAACTTTTATAATTAAAATAATGAAAATCAGATTAAAACTTACATATTCTCTATTTAACCAATGAAATTTTTTACTAATAATCTGGTACAACTTCTTTTGTTCTGGCCCTTGATTTCTATCTAATTGTATACGCTATAGCTAGTAAAGTACATGTTAAAGTTTAAAATACCAGTGGTACCAATAATTAGCCAAGTTCTATTACATGGTCATTGACTAGTATTTTAGTTCTCTTAAAGTTAGCAAAAAAAAAAACCTCGATAATTCTACACATTATATAATTATCTAGATTATTATTATTGCAATTACACTAATTGTAAGAACAAGTTTGTTTTAAATCTCAAAATAATATCTACATGTATAAAAGTTAAATGCATTTTGAAATTCTATGTATTCCTTAACGCATTAAGATAGTTGCAATCATTATAAATAATTAAATTTTCATATGTACTGACACAACAGCTTATTACAATACTATTGTTGAATAAATTTTAGGATAATAATGTTTAATACTATCAATCAAACAATGATTCTGAAATTAAAAAGAACTTATTTAATTTTACGTCTAGATAAAAAACCTCCTTGTCGTTAATTAAAAATATAAGAACAGAAATATGAGTTAAATGAGAACATTCTTACAGAAAATTTTTTAATTATATCTATTCTAGATATGTAAATTTTTCTGAAATCAACAATACACTACAATCCAAAAAACACCGTTCTAAAAATTCGTATGAAAACGATTTTTATGAAAGACTTCATGTTTATTTGTGCATTATTATCATGTACTTGATAAACAATATAGTGGGAAATTATATTATTTACAATACATTATAAACTTAAACAACCAATCTGTTATTGTAACTGATAAAATAATTGACACTAAAATTTTATGCGTATCGTAAATAACGGTATATATCATCTGGAATTCTTGAAAAAATAATCTCTATTTATTTATTCAACGAACAGAATGATTGACATTGTTTAGAAAAATAGGTGGTATTTACATTTATGATTATTTTATATAACAGCGGATTCAGAAATATAGTGATGTGACTATCATGAATTCAAATGGAATTTAAAGATAGTTGTAGATCAGTCTCTTGCATAGTCAGACAATGACGTATGAAACAAGTTTTTGGTTCTCAGTTTTTCTCTCGACCGTTATCAATAACAGCTTTGCACAACTTCCAGTTCCAACGAAATTTACATCAGTAGAGAATCAAAGTGTGGTTTCAGAATCTAACTCAGATTTAAATAATAATAATCACAGTATTTCCACTATTAATCAAAATAATATTGCAACGAGTATGCCAAGTACTACTAAAAGAAATGAATGGTGGCCGCCAAGTGACCAAGAAATTACACAAACATCTCCTTATTCTACCGAAATAAAGCAGCAAGAACCAGCTTCATATTATATCTCTGGTAATTGCAAAATTATTGTATTGTAAAAGAAAGTTTTTTTGTATGACATATTTTTGATTTAACAAAATAATCTTAATGTTTCTAAACTAAAAAAATATTTTTAATTATTCTTTTGATAATAAAAACTTTTTTATGATTAATCCTACATGCTGATGATCTTTTAATTTAAAAAAAAGTCTAGGTGTAATCCGCAAGATCCGTACGACTAATTTCCCAGTGATAAGAATAAAAATACCATATGTTCTATTTATAATAAAAATGAATAGCATAATTTATAAATTATCAAATTTAATTAATTTGCTTTTTTTAAAATTCTGCTTAAAAAATGGCTGGACCGATTTTGTTGAAAACCTAATTAATTTTAAATTCAGTGATTATGCTTTGAATGCAATCGGTCCCACCTCAATATTATTTTTTGTTCTCGAGATAATCGTAACGAAAATGGTTATAGTTCCGTTCTAGGGACATTTCCAAAAATCAATTAATTGTGCTGGGAAACACTTAACTAATGAATAAATTTTTTTAGACCGTATGATGGACGGTGCAATTCGAGGGGGGGGGCACATGTGACAAATACAGGCACTATTAAAAGCGGAAAAAAATAATAATAATTTGTAAGAATCCACTTATAATCATACTAAACTGTAACTACTATCCAGTAGCTACTGTTTTATTACTCACTCTGGTTTATTATCCTAGAATTCATTCTAGGTAATATTTTAAAATTATAACGCAATAATAGTATAGTGTTACAGGATCAGCACATGTGTACTACCACACTCCGCCGTCCTTCTTATGGCCTAAAATTCATAATAATTCGCTAAAAATCGTCCTGACCTAGTCGTGGAGTAGTCTATATGTGTTTCGTTGGCCAAAAGTGGAGGTAGACACAAACATCCACTTAAAAATTGTGGTATTCGACTCTTGAGACCTTGATACGTAGGGATATATCACGAAATTGGACCAATGACTATAACTTCCCACTGGGAAATTAATAGTACATTATGGATCCAGGGCCTAAGTGAAATATTATTCGCACTGCACGTCTTATGCGACGTCATCTGTCTAAGGCGATGATAGCTCGCTTGGGTTGTGTATGATGTTTTATGTACTAAAGGTTTAATATAAGGGCTTAATTGTTATGGCTGTTGAAGAGAGTTTTAACGGGTCGATTAGAAACACGGTGGAAAGAGCTCCTGATAATTTTTTATTTATAATTCCATTTGAATCACACTAATATCACCGGTCTATAATCGGCCGTTCAAGCTCCGCTCAACAGGCATAATAAGTGAGCACTTATATAGCCTAAAGCATATAAAAAATATTAAAACATCATTTAAAATTAAATTCAATAATCTGAAAATTCCAAATGATTTAAGGTATTCAAAAATATCTGTAATTTCGAAATTTTTCCAGTACAATCACCTTCTCTTGCATTACCGCATTATCGCAGTGAAGCTTGGAGTCATTATGGTTATCCAGAATATGTATATCCAATTTTACCATCAGGTGTAAACAATCAAGTACAAAGTCTTACATCGAAATATGCTGCTATAGGTATTTTTATTGGACTTCTGACTCTTTTTGCTATTATTCAAGGTTCTATGATGACAACAAAGCGTAAAGATGCAATGACTGATGTATTAACCTCTAGAAAAAGGAGAGAATTATTCCAATCTATTGACATTGACCATATGGTAACATGAAAAGTTTTTTATACTCATTAAAATAAAAAATATTCAGAGACTATATTCAAAATTTTCTATAAATTTTAGACACCAGAGCAGCAGGATATTTTTAACAATGACTCAAAAGTAAGATGTATTCAAAGAACAATATGTTATGAAAATCGATTGTTATCGGAAGATTTCGGAGCTGGAGGGATAAAAATAGCAAAATATTTAACGTAAGAATTATAAAAAATATTATTAATAGTAGATATTAAATTAATGACGTAACAGATATAAATAAATGGTATTTACTTGGAAGGCGATATGTTAAAAATTCACTAAAACATGCACCTGGTTGGGATCGACTTATTGATGATGCAGGAGCAGCAGGACTTCGTGGTGAAGATTGCAATGTACTTTATCGTGATTGTTTCATCCCAGTTATTTCAAAATTTCATAAGTAATTTCCTGTATTCAAAGGAATTGCAACTGAAGGAAAATTATCTTACGTAGTAAATGACAACCATGTGATTTAAATAGTAATTTTTTTTTCATTTAATTATAATATACTGTATTTTTATTCACTACAAACATCCAGCCCGTACTATTTTCAAATCACTTTATTCTTTTCTATTTCATGTAGTCTTTTCTCTTCAAAAGTGTCTTTTTAGAATGTTAGATATCAAATGGCAAATAAAATGACAGTAACAAAGACAATCAATAAAAAGTTTGCAATTTTCGCTGAAGCTTTTAACTTCATTGTTACAATATAATTATCATTATCATCGTTATTATATTACCATCATTATATTATTGTAGCATCATTATCATCATTATTATTATTTTTTTCTGACTGGAAAAAGTTTCATTGTCTTCATACATGAATCATGTTAAAAAATTACTTATATCTATCTAATGAGCCAAGTTAACGATTTTGATAATGGATATTCAAATTAACAATAAAAAAGTTTAATTGTTTAAATTGATTTTTATATTTATTACTCTATCTAAGATTAAATTCATTAATAATTATAAATATAATAATAAATACTAAAGTTAATCAAATAATCTAACTGAGAATTATTTTATTTTTGATGATGTTACAAAATTGTTCTCAACTTAGAATTTGAAAAATTTTTTCTTGACTACTAGCCAAATAATAATACAATTGATCGATCAATATTACAAAAGTATTATTTCTATTTACAAATTCGAATAACAAACAAATGTTATGTGTAATTTGTCCTTGACTAGGTCAAAAAAGTGTCCTTAATGTGATGAGAAATGTTTTTCAGATAAGATGTAACAGATTTTCAATTAAATCAATAGTTATGAGTAATAGAAATTGAATGAATTTATTTATTCTTTCAATTTCTTATTCTTTTGTTGTAAGAGTTATGCTGGTATTTCTTTATTTATTATAACGAAAACTATTTTCTGTTATTGAAGAAGAATGTTTACTCCATAAAAAGCATTGTTTGTTGAGAGAAAATGTTTCTGTCAATATTAACTTTTTCATCCCTACAACATTCGACTTCTTCAATTTACAGCGTAAGTAATTTTATAAAAATGGCACTATTTCGTTGATTCATGTTGAAAATCAGTTTTTAATGAAATTCGAGTATACAAAAGTAAATGAAATAAATAACTTGAAATAGAACAAAACCATATTTCGTATAAACATTCAGAGAAAAATGATTTTTCTTACTCCATCGTTAATTATGATAAATCAAATTAGAGAAAGTAAAAAGATAAAACAGGAAGCACATAAATTCAGGAAGATTACAGTTATAATTTGACAGTAATATAGTTGAAAATAAATTAACAAACTTATAATAATATGTATGAAAAGATAATGAGAAGAGAGGAAAGTAAAAGAAGCAAAACTAAATAAATAGGTATAAAAATATCAAGCTATCTATCAATAGTTGGTTATTGATGCAATGATTGAAACAAAAATGCTTGTGGTATTTTCATTCATTTATTATATTTATTGATTATTTATCGAGTCAATGAAAAGTCATAAAATAAAGACATAAGCCTAAAATATTCTTTACAGATCAAGAATAATTTGTTTTTCTAGAAACATACTCATTTTTTCATTACCCTCTGCTTCTCACTTATCTTCAATTTGTTACAATATTGATCTGATTAGCAAATAATCATTCCATTGTTTGTAATATTTAGTCAATGTTGACTGAGTACAGTAAACTTAAAATTTACCGAATATAACTACGATTAATTCATCAATTGAAATAATGATTCAAGAAAATAATAATTAATAATTAATTAATTAATTAATAATAATAATGATAGTAATAATATTTACAACTCACTAAAACTATTTGTTTCATTTTTTTCAACTAACACTCGCCCAGGTATTATAAAATAGTATTATTACAAGAAGTAGTGCATTCTTTAGAGTTTATAGAATATTTTTCATGTCAGTGCTTTTTTCCATTTGTTGCGTAATACAATCATTTGTACATGTAATAATTATTCAAGTGTATTACGTGTAATCTATGATTTTTTTACGCTATTTACGTGCTCAGTGATGTTTTCATTTAGGCTTGGCGGTGTCACTTCGTTCTAACACTTTTCATACTTAACGACATTGAACAAAAAAATATTTATGGTTCATTCATCGATTAACAATTAGTGAGACTTTGATGTATTCAATTTGTTTCTATACATTAATGTTTTATTATTAATTATGTATTTTTTGTTTTATTTATACGTAATCTGTATGTATAATACCCCTAAGTTGAGGTCACACAGCTCAGAAGCTCGTATTTCTTCCACTTTTTTGTTAAAAAAAATCTTTCCTTCTGTCATTCTATTTTTCACATGTTATGTTCATTAAATACAAATTATCTTATTTTTTATTTATCATTAATCACGAAGAAAGGAAACATTAGTGAACGTTGAGGTGTGCATTGTTGTATTTACAGGGACGGGCAATTCGACAAATGGTCGATTTTTTGTGAGATCATAAAACGAGTTTAATTAACTGATAAAAAAGTTATTTAAGTAATTAATAATGTTAATCGATAATCAAAAATTATTCATATATTTCTTCTATTTAGAAATAAACAATTTGTAAATAAGTCAATAACTTTATTAACATTTTCAATGTTTCGAATGAAGTTATTAAAAAAATCATACAATTGAGTAGATATATAAAATTAAAAAAAAATAAAAGTTGAACTACAGATCAATGATTATGGAAGACATTCCGGAAAAATTATAGAATGTAAAAAAAGAAATTTAATTCTAACATGTTCACAAAAAATATAGGCCAAGCATTTTTCTATCTTCAAAATATTAATAATGAGATTATGCTTTTTTTTCATTTTTTTGTTTTGTGAATATATCTCTTTATCGATGAATATTATCAATTCGTTTATACTTTCTTGAATGATAATCATTTGAAAATTCATCACTTAGTCAACAACATTTCATTTGTAATTTTTTAAAAGCACAGAATTTGAAAAAACTTTACGTCTCAATTGTCTTCTTTGTTCATTCAGCCACGTACATTAGTTTTATTTTATCGTAACGGTGTTATCTCACGTCTAGCTCAAGAAGAAATATGAAATAGAGAAAAAAGATACAATTAATCTATCATCAACTTTATAGCCCGCAGCTTTTGTCTTTTTACTTGTATTTTATAATAATTTTTATACTATTCCAAACAATCTATCTCACTTTGCCCCCACAGTACGTGCACACCAACTATATTTTATTGTTTAATTAAACCTAGCATGCTTAGAAAATATTTGAAAAATGAGTCTATAATAAATGATGTTCAACTTCATCGTCTTTCTTCGTTTCATCATTACTATACACACTTCATTTGTATAATAATTATTATTGTTTATTAGTCCATTAATAAATTCTGTTTTATCCCGTTATTCTCGTTGTTTGCACTATCATGAATTCTCAATACATGTTCGTCAATGATTAGTTAACAACTTCTTCCAATCACTAAAATTCATCTTTTTAATAATTTCTTGTTTACTTTGCCCATCTACATTGCTGGACTAGACTTGAGATACACCTCGAAATGTTAAAAATTGTTTTACTTATATAAATAGCTAGTGTCAATGCGTACTGCAGGTATTAATGACATCTGGTAGTCTTCAGGGCTCGACTAAGTCTACTTATATACTGGCCAACCGTGAAAATTTACCAAAGCCATTCTAATACATGCCACGTGTCTCTGTGTTCATTTATTTTTATTCTCAAAGTTTATATTTTACATTACATATCACTTGTTATCATATTCTTGTCTATTTTGGACAATTGTACTCATTAATTATAATGACAATAATAATTAATAATAATTAAAAATAATAACTAATCATAATAATAATAGAAATAATCATGATAATAGAAATAACGACAGATATAAAAAAATCTCATCACACATTTACTATCAAAAATCACGTAATGAATATAAGAAAAAAAGATAATATTAAACAGAAAATGCAGAATAATTAGTCATGAACAACATAATTATTCATAGAATGGTACTATCGATGTATTATAACAATCAATATAAACTCTGTTATCTTCCAATTGTCTTGCCAACATAAAATAACAATACTATCTAATAATTTACTAATTCTTTTTACTTTCTCTTAACATTTTTACTTGGTATTTTTTTATCAAACTTCGTTTATTGCAAACGCTTTTTCAGATGCAATAAAATATCAATATCTAAACTTTGATGATTTTGTACCATTTTTTCTGATTTAGTTGGTTTTATTATCTATAAGAAAAACAATTCACTCAATGTAAACATTACTGTTCACATTGAGAAATTTGACGTTATCAAAAAAATTGAGACACGCGGCTACTCATATGGTGTATTCCGGAGCATGTAAAACAAGTGATGGGCAAACATTCTTCTGGCTATTGTTGCAACAACGGTATTGCGGGCTAATCGCAGTCGATGCAATTAACGTCATAGTTAACATTGACTTTGTATAGAAATCACTTGGTGGTTACCTTCTGTCACGATACAGAAGATAAGTTTTCATCGCCTGTGGTAAATTTAATTCTTGTATCTTATCCAACCGATGCTTGCCAATTCGTTGCCGAATTACTCTTCTACATAAATCCATAAGGGGCAAAGGTTCAGCTACAAAATAAAGTATACCATTTAATATATTTACTTCCTCTTATTGATTCTATATTACTCATATCGCTAATAAGTAACATAGAATATATGAGTGTTTAGACAGCAAGATTGTTTCATTAGAAAAATGCTAAAATTTAAATATCATTTTTTGTTTTAACTAAGAAACTATTTCTTAATATCTAACCACCTTTAGAATAATCATGATATAAAACTTACGATCAAGGCCACCAATGTATTTCATTGTTATTTCACAATGTCCCCACACAGCTGAGACAATTGGATATAACTTTCTTCCTTTCAATCCTCTGAAGGCTACACCCAGGTACTGGCCATCAACTACAAATGCCAATGTGCCTTCATCCATATCTAGTACAACTGTAAATAAAATAAAAACATATTTCTATTTTGTACGTAAAAGTAAGTACTTTAATTAAAAGTTTTAAAAAAATTTATTGGTACCTAAAAATTTATCTGGGACGATGAATGTTTCATCAGGTTTTAGTAACGCAGGATACGTTACACCATTGTTATTTTTCGAATCATGATAGAGTTTATTCCTACCAAGATCCCAGCCCCAACTTAATGCATTGTTGCCGACTAGACTTTGGTAGCCAACACTATGAAGTGGTGCTTCGGCTGTCGCGACACCAACCACTGCGTGAGTTCCTCGCTGTCTCGTACTCCAGTGAATTTCCCAAACATGCATTCCTTTTGTATATCCAACTTTCCCTCGTATGCAATCGGTACTCTGGGCAACTGGATGGCGATGAAACGTTAATTTATCATCTTCCTGAAAAGCGTAAAATAAAGAAGGTTTTTATATTATGTTACATTTATAATTATTAACACTCATTGTTTTTTGAATTATCATAATACCTTGACAAATATATTGAGGCTTCTATCTTCAGCATTCCAGCCATGATGAACTTGTGTTTCCCTAGTGGCGGGTGGCATATCCAGAAGTACATCAAGTCTAGCTGGTCTCGAAAAGTCTTGAGCAAGTTCTCTAGGTACTACAGGTTTGTACGCCACTGTTCCTCCACCCCCCAAACCAAGTGTACCACCGGTACCTGCTCCATTTTCACACGATACGCTCTTTACGCTACCTAAAATTTAAAAAATAAAATTAAAATCTCATCAATAAATTGCATTGTTCGAATATTTCTCATAATAATTGCCGAAATTAAGAACATAATTCAAATTATAATAAAATTAATTGATAAAAAACTTTTCATTTTCTCGTTATTTTTTTTCTTTTTTAAGGAATAAATTTCCATCATGATAATGAGTTTTAATACATGAAAGATTTAATTTGAAACAGCTGAGTAATGATTTTTGTAACATTTTTAAAGTCAATTAATCAAATACTAACAACAATATTTTTAATTTTTTACTATAAAATAAATATAAATAAGAAATTCATATTTTTTATTTACTGTTATCAAATGAAATTAAAATATTCTTGAACATTCAACATTTTAATTGATTAAAAAGTTAAATAGGATATTTTAACGACATGCTTTCGAATAGGAAAATAATCAATAAAAAACTATAATAACGTATCAGGATTATAATATTCAAATAAAGCTGTTGAGAGATTTACGGTGTAAGAATACTTTTTATGTTCTTCAAATAAGTAAGAGAAGGTAATTATTGATTTTAAATATTATAGTGTGCTAAGTATAAAAAAGGATACATTTTTATTTAGTTTACACATACTGGTAAAATATTTTTTTATATTGAAATATGTGTTAAAGAAATAAAGAAAGATAAGCACCTGATATCGTTTGACCCATGGTCATGCCCCGATGATGGGTGCGATAGTGGGGGTGGTGTCGATGATGATGGGGATGGTGACGGAGCTCAACGCAACCCGCCGACAGCTTGTACCTATAGTGTCGTGAACTTGTTGTAGTGTGATGATGACCGGTGGTAGGTGGTGGTACTCCACCGTCCTGTCCACCTCCTCTTCTGGGACTTCCACCTCCACTGCCCACAATATAGCTGCCCCCGCGACCAGCAATCACGCTGTCGTTACAAAGACCGTTGGCTCCAGTTGTGCCAGTCGTCGGCCTAGTCGCACCACGGCTGCCGCCCCCGCTCACGCAACGATTTGCCTTATACCTAAAACGAATTATTTATCATTAAAAACTCATTCTCATTGATTTTTTGCACCTAAAACAATGCTAATTATTTATAAAATTTTACATTTTAATTCTCTTGATTTTTTGACATTAAACAAATAAGCGAGAAGTAAGATACATAAAATAATCGTTAGTAATATGAGACATCAAATGTCCGATAAAAATAAAATTACTGCCGATAGAAATTCATCTTCAATAATAAATGAACCCGTATCATATCGTTTGATATAAAAAAATATGCTTCCTACGTTCATACGTGTACATATATTTCTTAACACCACTTAAAAAAACAAAATTGAAAGACAAAATGACTATCGATCCGCCAATAAAATGAAAAAGCAGATGAATAAGCCATGTAGATTATGCTTTGACATGTGTTTCTTTGTTAGTGTATAATGTAAACGTAACCACTATACGAGTGAACCAGCTCAACTCAAGTTCACCCGCTTCCGGCGTCCCTGCCATACTTCCGCTCATGGATATTTCAGACAAACATTTTGAATCCGCTGTGTGTTCGATTATTCTCGTTGTTATTCTAACATTTCCACTCAAATATTTGATTTCATTCTTCTATTCGAATGATTTATAATGATTTTTAAATGTCAAATAACTGGAAATTAAATTCAATTGAATGACTATCAATTTATTGAAAATGTTGTAGAGTTTTCCATTTTATCTGATTTTGATGTAGTGTGATAAATTCAAAACTGACATTTTTACTGAATAACACTCCAATCGAATGGTGAGAAAAAAATAAATTCATTGTGAGCAATTGAATAATGAATTTAATCAGTATCTTTATTTCGATTAAATCGCAAAGTAAAAGTGATCGTTGGCCTATCATTTTCCGGAATTCTAATAGTTAAGTTGAAAGTCTAAAAAAAGTTAATATGATTTATTAAGATATGTTACTCAACAATAACTATGATACTTCAATTTGTTATCAAACTACAAATACCAGTAAATTTAATAAAGAATGTATATATGACGATATAAAAGACCCGAGATTAAATTTAAAATTCAGTTTCAACTTCAAAATCTTCAATTCTTTTGATTTTCCAATTGCCGCATATAATTTAATTCTGTTTTGGGAATCATCAACCTCATTGAAGATTTTGATGTCTCAAATTAATCCAAAAATCTTATTTTGGTCATCAATGTCATCGTAAATTTTTATATTTTTTTTGTATGGTATTGATATATTTTCAAGGTTTAAAAAAAGTTTTATATAGTACATTTGATACCTAGGAAAGGAAAGTAGTCTAGCTCAAACCACATGTAAAATTATAACCCGAGCTGAAGGTGTGGAGTTTTGAAAAATTTATAAATAAATAAAAACAAAGTAATATTATTTTTACCTAAGAATTTTTACTGGGTTGCTCAGTAAATTCCCGAGTCAGAATTTTACTCTTATTTTGCCGCTGAACCCCCTAAAAATCTATATTTTCTCACTGAACCCGCTGAAAAAATTTATTTTTGCCGCTGAACCTCCTGACAGAAATTATTTTTGCCGCTGAACCTGCTTACTATACTTTATTTAAAATAAAAATTTTTGTCTTCATCCAGAATATCTACGCGTTTTCCATAATTATTATGAATTTATTAATGAAATATATATTCTCAAATTAGTTTTATCAACATTTGACGATTAAAAATTATTTGTAGTGATTTAAAATAATTTCTAATAGTTAGTAATGATGAGGAAATATTTTCTATAATAGCTAATTGTTTATAACAATACATTATTATATTTAATATGATTATTTTATTACTACCGAGTACAGAATGCTTTTATAAACTATGTTTAATAGTATTCAGTTCTTTTGATTAATATTTATTAAAAAAAAAATTATTAAGTTACTTTTAATAATCAGCGATTATTAATTGCAACTTTTAAATTTTTTTTTCATTATTTTGTATATTTTAATTAATTTTTCATTATAAGATTGAGTTACCATTAATAGTATTTCATTTATAATATTAATTATTGTGAATTTAAATAAGTAGAATTTATAAATTCGACACAGCGCAGTGGATGCAGGAACCTGGACTCGATCTCTCGATGCTAAGCAAAATTTCTCGTGTACAGAACTTGGATAGGTGACCGCCAGGAACACCAATGATTTTTTTCTACTTCCTGCTAGACCCCCTGAATGAAAAAATCCCACTGAACCTCCTGAATTTTTTTCTACGTTAAACCCCTTGAAATTATTTTTGCCGCTGAAGTCCCCGAATTTTTTAAAAATATTATGCCGCTGAAGCCCTTGAATCGGGAATTATGAAGGAGGTTCAGCGACAAAATATAAAAATATTTTATATTATTTTTCTTATACGAAAAAATAATTTTTTCCCGCTGATGCTCCTGACTTCAGGAGGTTCAGTGGCAAAATAAGAGTAAAATTCTGACTCGGGTTTTACTTCACGCGCGCATATGGTTCTGCATTATTGGGATATTTCAGTAAAATTTACTAAACCGCTCAGTAAATTGTATAAATGTATACTTGTAATTCGAATTTGAACTTGAAGTGGTAGTTGAAGATTTTGAAGTTGACAAAATATTTTAAACTCTATTTCGGGAAGATAAAAAAATCGAAAAAGACATTAGTAACAATAATAAAATAAAAAATAACAGAGACGTAGTAATCGGTATTTAATACAGGGTTCATAGGTCATCATATATTTAAACGGTACGTCAATGGATAAACACAACAGGGTAAAAATATGGAATACATAGCACGTAAAATGTGATAGAGGAACACAAGTATAGTATTGATCTATTTTCCTTTTGGCCCCACCTCGAGAATGTAAACCAACCCAAATTCTCTCGTCTCTTTGCACTTAATCGGTGTCTCTTAATGCACTCTGACAGACATTGTGCCATGTGAATAAACAAACTGGAGATTAATATGATATTTAAATGAAATTTCACAAATTACTACTTAAAAACTCTCTTTTTTCGACATGAAGATACGAGATTTGAATGATAATAGCACGACCAACAAAAAATAAAGATTAGACACAAATAACATCCGCAGTGATATAGAGCGCGAAAGTTGGTGTTTGTCTAACGTATTTGGTTAAATTTATCTGGTTATTTAGTATGTCTCAACGTTATCGAAGGGAAACGAGTAATTGCACGCGCACGTGTATACGAGACCATAAAGGGATTTGGCAGAGGGTGGTGGGTTTTAGCAACGGATTTGCGTGAGGAAGCCTATATCCTGGGAATATTGGGGATTCGTTGACACGTTGAAACAGCAGGAATCGATCAAACACCAGCGACGACGAGGACGAGATTATCGTTCAACATGCACACCACCAGTTACACCAGTCTAGTTATATAGATATACGTCCTCCTATTATCTCTTTTGCTGATTGCCAATGAGGTTTCCAATTTAACTCGGCAACAGAGGATTAGAGCAGATTCTGTGGATACTACTATGAAATCAAAATATACCATCATATATTTAACATTATCACCACACGTACAACCTTTTTTTTATATATAGCTTAACAACAAATAGCCTATTTCAGTTAAATATCAATTATTATTCATTTTAATAATTTAATCGGATTCTGTTATGATTCAAAAAAGTTTAACTCCATTTTAATCTCCGTCATATAAAGCTAAAATTATCAATTGAAATTTTTCATTTCTGTTCATCCCAATATAAAACTTCTGCCAGATAATAACGATTAAGTTTTTTTCTACAATTTTTTTGCTTTATGTATAAAATCATACACACACCTACACATTTATCAGCTGCCACAACAAAGGGCCATTTCCCCCAGAACAAGCCCCAAGGATTTAGATGGGAACCTTTGGTCGAGACTCTTCTCTTTTAACTTGTATTCTTTTGTCTTAGAAACGATATTTTTTTTCTGTTCTCCCTTGATTTTTTTCTCTTTACTTTTTTTTCAATTCCACGAGGATTGAGAAACAATTTCTCTCACAATTAAAATCAAATATTCTAGAAAACTTTTTTGCTGGAAACTAGATGAGCAAGCTACAATAAACAACTTGCTTTTAATTGCAATGTTAAGTAAATAGAAAAAATATTCACTGTAGGAATGATCAAATAATAATGAATTTATAAATATTGGCAAGATCAGTATAAACAATTCATGAATAATATCATCATTAGCTTCTTGAAATTACATTCAAACGTTTAATATAAAAAAAACTGTGAAAAAAGTGTATAATTAATGCAAAAATTTGTTGGCATTATAGAAAATGACTCAACTAAACTCAATGTTCATGTTTATTACTGGGATTCTAGGATTCATAAAGGAACAATACAATAACGTAATTCGATAATCATGAAAACGCACGAAAACGATAATTTGTTAATCTGATAGTAATGGTTGTGCAATGATCAATAAAGTAGTGAACAAGAATGAAATCTAAGTCAACATAGATAGCCGAATTTATTGTAATTGTATATACGTCGTGTATACATCTAAATATGAATGAAGTTATTCATAAAGTGAGAGACAGGAGCGATCAATGTACACATTAGACATACAAGTGGAGCGATATTTTATCGAACTCTGAACATTTTTCAATTACATACATATACCACTGATTATTTACAATTTAAGTATTCACATTGAACTCTGTTCAGTTATTATTTATTGGATGCTTGCGTGAATGTTATCATAAAATATAACATTATACCCGATGTATGATGACGTCTACTACGATTTCAATGATGAAATTAAGAATTGAGGTGAGAAGATTTTCTCAAGGACTACCTTGCTATCGAAGGAAAAACGAAAGGTTCAGAAATATCAAACATGTGTTATAATGACATCTTTCGTAGTATTACTGACGTATTTTATATACTTTTGACGCACGTGTTAATATATTTTACTTTATGTAAACCTTTATAGTATTCACATGTAGGCGTTCGTGATAAAAGTTTTATTTGTCCTTGCAATTCACAATATACATTAACATTATCGTGATTCTATTTAATA